TCTGGGTTTGGGCATGGGCTGCCCCCTGTAGAGGGCGGGTACATGTCTTGGACCTGGGGGGTATAGAGTGTGTATCGGGAATAAGAATGAAATGTATCGTTATTGTATGTCTTTGAGTGAATGAATGTGAGATTGAGGTTGGGATAGTGTGATTGTGTATGTGTATGAATGGGTATTTGTTAGGCCGAGACTCGGACTGCCCCCTCTTTGATACAACTGGGGGTGCTTGGCATCGCGCCCCTATCGCGCAGCCCCCTGGTGGGGTGTGCCCTTGCCTGCCGGCGCGCTTGGGGCCCTTGGTATCGGGGGCTGGGCGCTTGGGCGTGTGTCGGCTCGGCCTGGTGTCTGCCTGGTGGGGCTCGGGTCCTCTGGCCCTGTCGGGCCTTGGCCTGGGTGGTGTGAGTCCTCGGTGCCCGGGCCTCGGTGCCTGGACCTGGACCTACATCGGTGCGGCGGGTGCCGACGGAGGCCTATGAGTTTGTCGCTGTTGGCCCTGGGGGGTCACTGTATGTGGTTGCTGGTGGGGATCTTCCGGTTCTCCCCTGTGGTCCCTTCTGGGGGGTGGGTGAGTGGTTCGCCCTGTGTGGGTGGCTCTGGGGGCTCCGCGGTCGGGGTCCCTCCTGGGGTCTTGGGCTCTGGTCCCCCCTTTTTCGTCTGCCTCTGGTCTTGGGGGTCGGGTCTCTGCTGCTTCACAGTTACTAATAAATGTTCTATTAGAGAAGCCTTATACACTTATGCATGCTCACAACCACACACAAATAGAAGCAGGGATGTTTATGTAGGCTTTATATGTAGATATATAGATATGTATGTGAGTGTATATTCATGTGTATGTATGTATGTATATAGGCGTAGGTATGGGTATATATATTTATGGAAACTTACTGCAAAGCCATGAATATTTTAAGTTCTTTATACATATGTATTTTGTTGCTGTGTTTTGTCATGTTCTTTGCAGGTGAACAGACAGTGGCCGGGTGTTTTGACGTGTGCTCTATTTGTATATATTTCTTATATTTTGGAGTCTTACTTTGTCTTTTCTTTCTTTCTATCCTATTAAAAAAAAAAAAAAAAAAAAAAAAAACCCTACACTAGAATGTCACTATAATAAATATTTCATAATAATGGTGTGGAGAGGATGGCTGTAAGGGGAGAAGGGAGGCCATCAAAAAAAACAAAAAAAACAAAAAAAACAAACAAAAGAGCATATGTCCTAGTTTAATGTGGGCCACCAGAACTGTGCACGAACTAAGGAAATAGTTTAGTAATAGACTGGGCACCCTCCAACCAGTGCCTCCACTCCTCCAAAGCCAGCTTAACAGTGAGCAGTTCACGTTCCCCGACATTGTAATTTCGTTCAGCTGGCGATAGGCTTCTGGAGAAGAAAGCACAGGGATGAATAACTCCTTCCTTATTTTGTGGGCTAAGCACTGCTCCTACACCCACACTAGACGCATCTACCTCAACGATAAATGGTATCTCTGGGTTGTGGGTATGGAGGACAGGGGCAGAAGAAAACAAAGTCTTTAATTCTTTAAATGCTGCATCAGCTGCCTCTGTCCATATGATTTTTTTCTTGGAGGAGGTGAGAACATGGAGGGGATTAGCAATGAGGCTAATCCCCTCCATGTAAATCTCCGGTAGAAATTAGCAAACCCCAAGAACCTCAGTTGTTTCCGGTCTTTGGGTACTGGCCAATCTAGTACTGCAGACACCTTGTTGCTACTCATTTCAACTAAATTGGGTGAAATCTTAAAACCGAGAAAAGATGTGGAGGACTGGTGGAAATCGCATTTTTCAGCTTTGACAAATTAATTATTTTGTAATAACCGGGTGAGAACAGATCTGACATGTTTCTTGTGTGAGGTTAGGTCCTTGGAGAAAATTTAAATATCGTCCAGGTAAACAAAAACAAACTGATTAACCATGTCCCTTAGGACATAACTGACCAGAGACTGGAACACAGCTGGGGTGTTGGTCAAGCCAAAAGGCATGACCAAATATTCATTATGACCATTGGGTGTGTTGAAGGCCGTCTTCCACTCATCTCCCTCACATATGCGCACCAGATGGTACGCATTACGGAGGTCGAGCTTGGTAAAAAATGAAGCGCCTTGGATAAGGTCAAAGGCGATTGACATTAATGGAAGAGGGTATTTGTTTTTAATGATAATTTTGTTTAACCCTCTCTAGTCTATGCAGGGTCTTAAGGATCCATCCTTCCTCCCCACGAAGAAGAAACCAGTGCCTGCTGGAGAAATAGAAGGCCTGATGATGCCGGCTTGAAGCGAGGTCTTGATGTACTCCTGCATGGCTTCTTGTTCAGGAGTAGACAGAGAGTACAGGGCCCCTTTAGGGGGAGTAGAACCAGGAACCAAGTCAATAGGGCAATCATAAGACCTGTGCGGTGGTAAAGAGGTGGCCTTGACTTTGTTAAAAACCTCCTTCAAGCCAAGGTACTCCTCTGGAACCTTAGAAAGATCTGGATAAGTCTCTTTAATATTCTAAAAAAGTTAAATCTGGTCCTCTGGACATTCAAAAAAAACAAAACAAAGCAAATCAACAAAAAAATGTAGAAACGTTTCGTCTCTCATCCGAGAGACTTCCTCAGTCTGAGGAGCTGTATTCAGCTCAGTCTCTTAAATAGCACCGTCTCAGGGTGGATCAACCAGTTTTGCTGCTGACAACCAAAACCAGCTGATCACATGCTCAAGAAGGACCATCAGCATAACAATGGATCATTAGCACACTGATGGCTGTTTACTGTTCACAGAGGGCTAATGATCCATTGTTATGCTGATGGTCCTTCTTGAGCATGTGATCAGCTGGTTTTGGTTGTCAGCAGCAAAACTGGTTGATCCACCCTGAGACAGTGCTATTTAAGAGACTGAGCTGAATACAGCTCCTCAGACTGAGGAAGTCTCAGCTGGGGGGTTGTGAGTGTTCCCACATCTGCCCAATGCCTCTTTCTCTGGGCAACTCCATAGTAGGAAAAAGTCCAGTTCCTCTCCAGGAGAGGGGTTCCAGAGCATAAGGTGTGTGTATGGGTGAGCCCAACTAAGCTCAACCTCACACACAAGCTCTGGCTCTTTACCATCCTGTGAGGTAATGTTCCACATCCATAGAGCCAGTCCGTGCTGCCAAGAGTCACCATGGCCAGGAACCCTCCCTCGTCTGCTGCCTGGCATCCATTGCAGTCGACCTTGATGGACCTCCCCGTAGGTGGTGGGCCTACATGGTGGTGGCTTCCTGCCCTTTCTTTGGGCTTTGCAATGTACTTATATCTTGTATAAGTTGAGTTTGGATAGAAAGTGAGGCGAGAGTCCACTCGAGACTTGTACTCTTTTTATTAGCATCGCATAAACTGTACAACTGCTCATACACTTGCTGCTGTGACGCCAAGTAGGTACGGATGCTGATTAGGGACCTAAAGACAGTGAATAGCCAAAGTTCGTCCACCAGTTGCTCGCTGGTGAGCTCCCCCCCAGGCCTGGCTTCAGGGAAGTGCACAGGTTTCCCTTTTCCAGGCGAGGTTTTCTAATGCTACCGTTGTTTTGCCATAGAGGGTTTTTGAATCGCTCTAAGTGTGACTCCTCCCCCACTGACTATTTGCAATTCCTTATGCCCCAGACAACATAGTCCCTGGGATCACCAGGGTACTCAAGATTGAAGGATTATAGGTTCTTTATTTGTCATACTCACCACATGTGGTACATGTGGTGGAACAAAATTGTGTACACAGGGTCCCAGTTACATCCAACAAAAGTATAATATGTAAAATAAAAACAGTAATAAGATCTAAGATATGAAATAAGAAAAATGTCAATTAGAAATACATGAGTCTGTGTGAGAAGATGAGTACGAATGAACACATCAGCATGAAACAAATCAGCAGTTTCATGATGTGATTTTTTTCACAGTGATTATCCTGATTAAGGACTCATGAGTCTAACAGCCTCAGGGTAGAAGCTGTTCCTCAGTCTAGTGGTTCTACACTTAATGCTCCTCAACAACCTGCCTGAGGGTAGCAGGGCAAAAAGTGTGTGTGCTGGGTGAGTGGGATCCTTCATGATGCAGATGGATATTCCTGCATCTGGAGGTATAGATGTCTGTGATGATGGGGAAGCTGAATATATATATATATATATATATATATATATATATATATATAGTGTGTGCGCGGAGGGGAGTGGAAGGAATGTAGCATCCAACCAAGGTCCCTTAAAAAGACATAACATCCTCAGAGACACCTTGTCTCTTCTACCCCCCTGTCTGCTAAATCTACAATTCAGGTCGACATCCTGGACCTCCCTGGCTCCGATACTGTATGATAATTAACCCTCTGTGTTAATAAACCACCCTTTGTGCTAATTAGCCTCCTTTCCTGAAAAGACAGACATTCAGTCTTGGGGATAAGTCAATATCAACAATGGACAGAACCCAATCATGGTCTCAGGATTACTGAACTGGTTGCCGTAGTAATGAGGGAAGTAAGCCACTGTTTTCAATGTGTGTTAGCTTTTGTTTACACCCATTGTTGGTAGTTGCATATCACTGGTTAAGATTATGGGGCACGGTCACTTCTGGTGTCAGGCGGTACTGACACCAGAGTTCAGTTGTTGAAGGAGAGAGTTGTGGAAGAAGTCTCATGAGCGAGCAGGCTCATGATGGAAGAAGTTGTCCAAAGCTGGCAGATGTGGGATGTCCATGTAGAGTTTGCTCTGAGCCAGCAAAGAGTTCCATCTTCGACTCAGACCCAGTCAGCTGAAAAATGGAGAGAAGTCCGTAACTTGCTCAGACACTCAGGAGTGATGTTGCTATCTTGCCGAATGAATCGCGAGGACAGCAGGCCACCGGCTTTTCCCCACATCCTTTGTGGTAATGAAAATGGACATTTCCTGGTAGGATAAAACATCTTCCTTCTGATGAACAAGTGTCAACTGAGATTTCTTAGATATAATTTAAGTTCATGAATCCAAGATTAAGTTTACTTAAATTTTAACGTTAGAGCTAATAACAAAAAAGGTTGAATCATGTCATCTGGACTTCGTTTTTTTGTTAAAAAGAAACGTTTCGCCCCTCATCCAAGAGGCTTCGTCAGTCTGAGGCCTAGCCATCTGGTATTACCCAGCCTCTTGGATGAGGGGCGAAACGTTTCTTTTTAACAAAAAAA